GACCACCTGGCCCCCCCCCCCCCCCCCCCGCCGCCGGCACCTCTCTGCCTGTTCATTCTGCTCCTCAGGCACTGAAACGCCACCTGCCACCCCAGCTTCGGATCCGGCGCAGGAGTCCATGGATGCGCCAGTGAACGTCACCATCACAGTGACCGCAACACCTTGAGGCCCAGGAGGAAGGGGGGGGGACAGGGAGGGGGATCCCCACTGTCACACTTGGTCCTAAAAGCAAGGTGACACCAATGCCCCCTCCCACTTCACAGCCAGCCGTACACCCCGTGCGAGGCCAGCCCATGGCCGCCAAGGACTCGGCTAGAAGGGAAGTCCTGGCCCCGCGGTGAGACAGACAGGACATGGGCCAGCAGGTACCCGTGGGCAGTAAGACGCGGTGCTGGAGGCACAGCCTGGTGCCCTGAGCAGGCCGGCTGCTCCGACAGCCCGGGCGCCGAGCAATCCCTAATAAACCTGCTGACACTCTCACCAGCGGGGGTCGTCCCACTGCAACTCCCACACGGAAAGGCCACCCCAGGCTCAGGTGGGCCCCCACCGGGAGGAGGCTGGGAGATGGGGTGCAGGATGTGGAGGCATGAGTCCCCTTCATTCACCTGCAGCGACACGGTCTTCTGGCTCTTTACTCTCCACGCCTCAAAGTCCCTCCCCGAGGACACACCCAGTTACAGGACCAGCTGTCAGTGCTGGTGGCGGAGCAGGGCCAGGGCCAGGGCTCCGTCCCCTCCCTGTGGGGGAGGAGTGGCCCCAGGCCTGCAGGTGGTGAAGAGGGACAGGGCACAGGTGCCAGGCCCCCGGGTCTGTGCCCACAAGGGGAGCAGAGACCGCTCCTGCCCCAGGCCGGGGCGCTGGCTGAGAGGGGACCCAGGCTGTTCCAAAGTCCCTCTCCGCCAGCTGCCAGCGTGACTCACTGGCTCCAAGTGTGTGTGTGTCTGAAACACTGAGAAACACAAACCGATGCTTGTTCGGGGCTGGCCCTGCAGGGGACGCGGAGGAGCAGCCAGGGCCGAGCCGGCTGCCAGGAGGAAGGCAAGTGGCGCCCAGAGGAGTGGGAAAGGGACAGGAACTGAAGCTGCCTCGGGGGTTCTCACAGATTTAGGCTTTATTAGAAAAGGGGTGTCGGGTCCCCTCAGAGCCCTCAGGACGGGGCTCCAGTTTAGGAAAGCCTTATTTTAATGTGGGGGATTGGGAAGAGCGGCTACAGTGTTTGGACAGGTTCAAGCCACGGACTAATGAGAGGGCACAGTCCTCTGATGGCCACGTGCAAGTCCCAGCTTGGAGGACAAGGCCCTCCCAGCATAATTAGAGCCAACAGCTAGAGCTGTAAGCTTGAACCTATGGTCCGAACGCATGGCCCCACGTGCCTGAGTGATGTGGGCTTGATAGAGTTCAGGTGCATGCAGTTGAGTAGGATCGAAACCCACGAGAAAGTTGTAAACATCTTGACCACGCCCTTACTTTGCCTCGTGGAAACTGGCTATAAAATAAAGACACGGCTTGTAGTCCGTGGCACTGTTTCTCTCCATCAGAGAGGGCAGCGTCCCACCCAGACCCGGCTCATTCTCTTGTCTGTCTTTTCTCCATCCTTCACCGCCCCCACTCGGGCTCACCGAACCTGGCTGAGCTGGCGCGGCACATAAGGCGCCCAATGTGGGGCTGAGTATGCCATGGCCGTGCTGGCTGCCATAGGGAATAGATAGGACAGGGCCCCACTCCATGCAAAGGACCCTGTTGGCTTTTGGGTCAGCAGCACAGACCCTGATTTGTAGGGCAGGAACCAGCTGCTTCTAGCCCAGAGCTCACAGCACCGTGAGGAGGGACCAGGCACCCCCCCCCTTCATGCC